GCAGGCACTGCGGCGCGAGCGGTGCGTTCGGCGGGACGCGAGCCCAGCGAGCTGCAGGCAGGTGAGAGCCGGGCCGCCGCGCCCCACGCCCCACGCCCCACGCCGGGTCCGCGGCAGCACCTGCCGGCAGTCCCAGTTGCTCGCCGAGCCCACGAGGCCGGCCCGCGCGGCCCCCGCGCGCTGTCACCCACCCGCGGCGCGGCCTGCGCCCCCACGCCGGCTCGCGCGGCCCGGCGGCCCCGGCTGCCCCGTCAGGCCGTGCGTCCCGGGCACTCACTGCTGCCCGGCCGTGTGCCCCCGGGACAGCCTCCGTGGGCTCGTCGTGCTGCGTGGCTTGCTGCGCGCCCCTCCCCAGGTGGTGCGCCCCGCATCTCCGCGCCCTGGGATTCAGGGTCAGCCCGAGGGGCGGGGGATGGCGGTGCTGTTTCCAGTCTGGCTTCCTTCCCTCTTTGCGGAGGCGACACGGAGTAATTTTAGATGCCTCTGCTCCAACCTCGCGACCTTTCCCGCTGGCCTGCCCCGTAGGGGTCCCGGGTTGCCTTGTTGCCTCCGCTCTTGACCGAGAAATTGACATTGGAGTGTGATAACTTGAAGGTGAAGAATCGTCTCCATCGTTTGGCAGGAGATGTCCCATTAGATGTGTAGCCTATAGGAACTCGGCCTTCATTCAGGATTAGGGGCTTTAAGCAGGTCTGATGGGAAACTCCTGATTCTCAGCGCAAAGGGCGAGGGCAAGTGCAGAGGAAAGAAAGTTAGCTTTTTGAAGGCTACCTGGGGTTGGGGCATTTGCAGTAGCTGTTAATCTGTTTTTTGCAGTGCTGGGAGACGGGATGATGGGGAAGATGCTATCCCTTCTGACGTTTGGGTCCTCTGAACGAAGGCGGCCAGTTCTATGTGAGGATCTGGGATCTGAGTCCTGAGACAGCCTGGTTTGAGCTGTCATTAACTGACCATGTGACTTCCCTCAGGCAGTTTTCTCCTTTCTAAAGGCTAGGCTAGGTGGCTGAAATTTTTCTGTTTTGTGTTTGTGTGCTACTCGGCTGAGGTCTCATCTGTTCCGTTTCTCTGCATCTGCCCTTTCATCTGTGTGACTTTGCTAGCCTGCTCCTTTAAGGTGTTTGACTCAGATGAAGTTTGTGAGAGGCCTTCACCTCTTAGAAGTTCAGGATTCTCTACTGGGATATAGTTGACCTTAATCAGGGTCACTTTGGAATGTAGAATTACTCTCTATGCTTAACTCATCCAAAAGTTAATAGCTTTGGGCAGTTGAGGCTGTGCACCATGTTAGCTCTCATGACACATCTGGTAGTTAAAGGGAGACACTGACCATTCCCAAGCAGACATCATCCGAGGCATGAGGTATCTGCTTTCTAGACAATGTCCTTTGCTTAACTGTTAACTGATGCTTTCTTTTTATACCAGGCTATTTCAAACCCCTCCCCCACCCATTTACTAATTGTGGGAATTAATTTCTGTAAGAAAGTAGGTGTTTGCCTGGCAGTGGTGGCACACATCTTTGATCCCAGCACTCAGGAGTCACAGGCAGGATTTCTGAGTTCAAGGCCAGCTTGCTCTACAGAGTTTCAGGGCAGCCAGGGCTACACAGAGAAGCCCTGTCTTGACCTATACCCCACCCCCTCCAAAAAACAATTAAATAAAAAAAAGAGTAAAGAGAGTGGGTGTTTGAAGAACTTTTTGTAGTGGCATTTTGTTTTTTTCTTTTTGTCCTGGCTGACCTGAAACCTGCTCCAGGCCAGCCTCAAACTCAAAGAGAACTTATAAGTTCCAGTTTAAAGTGGCACCCCTTGCCCTTTGTTCCAGGTAGTTGTCTGGTACTTACTTTTCACTGAGTATGGTGTATTATGCTGAGATTAAAACCTCTACTAAAAAGCAATTAGGCTGGGTGTGGTGGTGTAAATGTATGTATAATCTTAGCAACTCAGTCCTGCTGGGAAAGATGGGATGCCAACAGGCCTGGGATAAAGACCTAGCCTTGTTTAAAAACAAAACAAAACAAAAAAACAAAAAAAAAAACCAACAACAACAACAAAAAAAAAAAAAACAAAGCACAGAGTATTTATTTTGAGACAAGGTCTTGCTATACAGCCATGGCTGGCCAGAATTCATAGAGCTACCACATCCCAGTAGTGAGACCAAAGGTGTGTACCTTCGTGTCCAGCAAGAAAGTTTAAAATAAATAAATAAAAAAATAAAAACTACTTATGGAAGTACTTAACTAGAGGGCTGGAGAGATGGTTCAGCAGTTATGAGCTCTGGCTGGTTTTTTTTTTTGTTGTTGTTGTTGTTGCTGTTGTTGTTTGGTTGGTTTTTTTCCCCTTTAGATTACAAGATCTGGGTTTAATTCCCAGCACCCACATGATGTCTCACAATCATCTTTAACTCCGGGGGATCCAGTGCCCTCTTTTGGCTTCTGTGGTATGAACACTGCACACACATGAGACTATACACTCGGGACACCACCCACACACATTTTAAAAAGTACTTGAATCAATATGACTGTCCAGGTGTGAGCTGAACAAGGATGACACCAGTGGACATGCTAGAGAGGATGGGGAAAGGCCACCAGGCTCCAGCCCTACACACAGAACTGTAGGCAACTGAGGAAAGCCGGAGTGGGAGAGGTGGTCCTCCCCGCGGAAAAGTATGCCAATTGATTGATTGTTCAGTGCCAGATGATCAGCCCTAAAAACACACGTACAAGTAACTGAACAGTTATATGTAGGAAGATATGTGTGTATGTACATATATGCATACAGTAATAATTAGTGAGAAAAGAGGCCGTGAATTTGAAGGAGATTGGGGAAAAGTAGATGGGAGGGTTTGGGAATAGGAAAAGGAAAGGAGAAATGTAATGGTCTCAAAAAGAAAAAAAAATAGAGCATTGTGTCTGGTTTTATTTTATGCATATGAGTGCACTGTCTTCAGACACACCAGAAGAAGGCATCAGATCCCATGACAGATGGTTGTGAGCTACCATGTGGTTGCTGGGAATTGAACTCAGGTCCTCTGGAAGAGCAGACAGTGCTCTTAACCACTGAGCCATCTCTCGAGCCATCTTGGTTTAAGTAATTTTTAATGCCATACTGCCTCCCTCCATTTGTATAGCAGTCACTAGGACTTAACATTTTTGGAATAAGTCTTTTGTCTCAACGGTAAGTTTGCATAGCCTGTCCTCAATCCATTCACTGGTTCTTCTATTAGTTAGGTGGCAGCTGCTATTGAACAAGCCATTCTTGAATTAAAACCAAGGCATCTATACTCAAAAGATCTAAGGGTTAGTTAGTTAGTTAGTCTGTCAGCTGTCGTCAACTCTACTGTGTTTCTAAAGAAACCTGGGCTCCATCAGGGGTTCTGGATTTGATCCCACTGATAGTTTATGGAGTTTTCTCATTCTGGTTAAGAAAATGAAGTCATCACCAGTAATTTGTCTTTTTATGGCATTTTTAATCTATAAGTGTAAGCTTAGAAAACGTTATTTACTCTTGCACTTTTTTTGTTTTTTATTTTTTCAAGACAGGGTTTCTCTGTAGACCAAACTAGCCTTGAATTCAGAAATCTGCCTGTCTCTGCCTTCAGTGGTAGGATCAAAGGCGTGCGCTACTGCTGCCACTGCCTAGTTTAGCTACTGCTGCCACTGCCTAGTTTAGCTACTGCTGCCACTGCCTAGTTTACCCTCATGCTTTTAAAGCCTTCCCCCAACCTTCTTACAGGTCTTCCCAGAGTCCTTTGGTCTTCCATTCATTCTTTTACCTGCCACTCCTCCAGTTCTCTACTAAGAAGGTTGTGTGTGTGTGTGTGTGTGTGTGTGTGTGTGTGTGTGGTGTTTGGGGTTCATTTATTTCTGTCATTCTTGACCAGGTTAAGCCTGCAAAACTGCTAGGTTTAAAGGAGCCCTTTGTGTACTCTCTGGTATTCTTGTCCTTCTCTTCCTGGCTTTGCTATTTCTATCTTGTCACAGTTCTAGGTTGTTGGCTACTTCATAATTAAGGGCTGCTTTCAGCTTGTACCTTTCATGGGCCTTTTGCTATTTATCTTGACACTGAATCTTGCTATGTTGCCCAGGCTGGCCTCAAAGGACTCTAAGTTTCCCTTCAGCTGATCCCCAGGCCCTGGCTTTCAGGCATTCATTTACATTGTTGGACTGCCTGCCTTTTTCAGGGCAGTAATCTGTGTGGTCAGATGCTGCAGAGAGAAACCCTGGAGAGTTTGATGGTACTTGGTTTTTTGAATGTGGCACTCTCTAGTGGAGGAGGTAGAAAATAGGACTTGGAAAGCATCTTAGGAGGCCTGGGGACTCTGGCAGTGTGGGGATGGGAACAGGAAGGACGAGGGGGATCGGGTTAGTCTGCTCACACTGCTGGCACAAAATGCATCCGTTTGGAAGGTTTAAAACAGTCATTTATTTCTCACAGTTGTAGAGACTGGGGAGTGTGAGGTCAAGGCTCTGGCTAACTTAGTTCTGATGAGAGCTTCTGTCTGGCTCACAGCCACTTTCTCATTGAGTGCTACTCACAGGACCGTTTCTTCATGTCTTCTCTCTCCATCCCGCTCCAAAGCTAAGAATTGAACCTAGGATCTTGTGCATGCTGTATCCCTAAGTTCTGTGCCAGTGCTATTCTTATAGTCTTACTACATTGAGTCCCCCTTATGTTAAGACCTCATTTAACCGTAATTATCAACAAAAAGTGGTCTCTGAATCTAAGCACATTGTGGGGTTAGAAGTTAGCTTGGTATGTGGATTAGGTTGGGAGAGTAAAACCGTTCAGTCCACAATGCAGAGTGTGGATAGGGTTGTCTTTAATTTTCATGCTGGGGATTGAACCCATAGTTTTGGCATGTTAAGCAGGGTTTCTACAGCGTTTCACCCCTGCCTGGCCCTGATTCTGCTCATAACAAGGATATTTAGTCTAGCCATTGCTGTTTGAGAATTGGCCTGGATAGGGTAGGGCTGAGGTGGTGAGTAGGTCAAGCCATGGTGATTTACTGTGGGGAAGCAGTAAGAATTGACTGGATTCCAAGGTAGGGCTAGACAGAAGGAAG